CCTTGTTTATTATTGTTGGGGTTTTTTTTGTCATATCAGTCGCTCCTGGTGTGAGAGAATTGGCCGTCTGCAAGGATGTTGCCCAGGGGACACCCGGATGATTTGATGTTTTTATCATCCTTGTGGGAGGCTTCTCTCATGTCCCCGCACAAGGAGCTGGAGATGATAGAGGGAGCTCAGCCACCTCTCCCCGGATTCGAACCTGCGTCCTGTCGGTCTTCAGTCCTGCCGGCACAGGGGATTAACCCACTGTGCCACTGGGGGCTCCATTATGGTTGATGTATATAAGGTCATCAATATATATGGAGAACCAGAATGGTATACTTAATGTGATTTTTGGACTAAGACTTCAGGGGATCAAAGTTTGAATCTCCAATCAACCATGGATACACATTGGGTGAATCACGCAATATCAGCCATATAAAAATGTATGAACAGTTCGCTATATTATTGGGTTGCTGTGAGTTTTTTGGGCTGTATGGCKATGTCCCGGAAGCATTCTCTCCTGATATTTTGCCCACATCTATGGCAGGCATCCTGAGAGGTTATACCTCCCAGCAAATCCCAGTGTTCCAAACATTGAATGATGATGGCTAAAGTGGAGTCATAGAGTTGTGAAAATGTAGAGTGAAATGGACCCAGCAGCAGTAGTGTCAAAAGTGAAGGTGACCCTTATTCCTATGGCCCCTTACGTTGCTTACTTTGACAACACAGAAGTCATCTGCTATATAATGAGAATATGGGAGGTATGTTGGAAACTAGGCTTATATATCTCTGGATGCTTACATAGAGAAGCCATTGGAATACACAAACATGTAGATAATTTCAACAGAAAGGAGGAAACCATGAAAATGAACAAAATCTGGCTACCAGTATTAAAAAACTCTAAAATCAGGACAGTAACTAAAGAACAARTCTCAGAAAACAGAGGAATTGCAGATAAGAAACAATTAGGGTCAGATAACAAAGGATTCTCCCAGGCAGGAAGCAGCCGGGCTTTATTGTTATTATTATTATTATTATTATTATTATTATTATTATTATTATTAACTTTATTTATACCCCGCAAAATCTCCCGAAGGACTCGATGCAGCTTACAAAGGCCGAGGCCACTGACAACAACAACATACAATACACAGTAAAACTCATAAGCATATAATAAAACATCAAGCAAAACAATAAAACAGTAAAACAATGACACCGTGATGCAATTAAAAACCTAGGGGCCAGGCCAAATGTAATGGACAAAAATTAAAAGTGCTGAACCTGACAGGTAATATATAGATGTATTTGGCGGTAGGTGCAATGTGCAGATAATCCTGAATCTCTAACAAAGTGCGCTTGGGACTTGAAGCCAGGAGTTTCCTATTCTGGGAAGGCACACTGGAACAGCCAGGTCTTCAGGCTCTTCCTAAAGACAGCCAACGTTGGGGCCTGTCTGATGTCCTTAGGGAGAGAGTTCCAGAGTTGGTACCACAGAAAAGGCCCTGTCCCTCGTCCCCACCAAACGCTCCTGCGACGCAGGTGGGATCGAGAGCAGGGCCTCTCCAGATGATCGGAGGGAGCGTGCAGGTTCGTAAACGGAGATGCAGTCATGCAGGTAGGCCGGTCCCAAACCGTTTAGGGCTTTGTAGGTGAGCACCTGCACCTTGAATTGGGTGAACTGCTGACCAAAAGGTTGATGGTTTGAATCTGGGGAGCGGGGTGAGCTCCCATCTGTCAGCTCCACCTTCCCATTTGGAGACATGAGAGAAGCCTCCTACAGGATGGTAAAATATCTGGGCGTCCCCTAGGCAATGTCCTTTCAGATGGCCAATTCTCTCACAGCAGAAGTGACTTGCAGTTTCTCAAGTCACTCCTGACACACACACACAAAGTCTGCTTCCACTCTGGACATCCACAGATATATAAACCCACATGCCTAGTTTCCAACATACCTCACAACCTCTGAGGATACCTGCCATAGATGTGGGTGAAACATCAGGAGAGAATGCTTCTGAAGCATGGCTATACAGCCTGGAAAACTCACAGCAACACAGTGATCCCAGCCATGAAAGCCTTCGACAACACATCACTATAGCATTGCTGTAAATTGGAAATGGCTTGAAGGCACACAGCAATAACATAGGGCAATGTCAAGGTACATGGATGGCATCCCATTGTATGATGTATAGTGAGTAACATACACCCACATGCTATTCTGTATGTGCTTTAATGTATCATTGCATGTATACAAAGCCCCAACATGCATTACTCTTTCTATGCTGCCTTCAGTTGGATACACCTGTAGTAAAACCAGTTAGGAATCCAATTAAGGGCATATCCAAACAGCTAAGACATTTGTGCCTCTTTCTCTTTCAAGGGGGGTCTTTGTGATCTGTTAAAAAATCACTCTGTATGCAATCCAGACAAGACAGAAGTCCTACTGGTCAGTCGTAAGGCCGAACAGGGCATAGGGTTACAGCCTGTGTTAGATGGGATTACACTCCCCCTGAAAATGCAGGTTCGCACTCTTGGGAGTGATCCTGGACTCATCGCTGAGCCTGGAACCCCAGGTCTCGGCGGTGGCCGGGAGAGCTTTTGCACAATTAAAACTTGTGCGCCAGCTGCGCCCGTACCTTGGGAAGTCGGATCTGGCCACGGTGGTCCACGCTCTTGTTACATCCCGATTAGATTACTGCAACGCACTCTACGTGGGGTTGCCTTTGAAGACTGTTCGGAAACTCCAACTAGTCCAGCGGGAGGCAGCCAGAGTGCTAACGGAGCGTCATACAGGGAGCATACCACCCCCTGTTGTGTCAGCTCCACTGGCTGCCGATCCAATTCCGAGCACAATTCAAAGTGCTGGTTTTGACCTACAAAACCCTATATGGTTCCGGCCCAGTGCATCTGTCCGAATGGATCTCCCTCTACGTCCCACCCCGGAGTCTAAGATCTTCTGGGCAGGCCCTGCTCTCTACCCCGCCTCTATCACAAGTGAGATTGGTGGGGACGAGGAGCAGGGCCTTTTCGTGGTGGCCCCCCACCTGTGGAATTCACTCCCCGGAGAAATTAGATCAGTGACACCCCTCCTTTCCTTTAGGAAAAAATTGAAAACTTGGATTTGGGACCAGGCATTCAGACATTCTGGCAGCTAAAGAAAGGACTTGACGATGGACAGGAATTGACTAAACGGAATGGAATTATGGAACTCTGAACGCTGAACATGAGATTAGTTTTATTGATTGTGTTATGTACTGATTGTTTTAACTTGCTAATTGTTTTAACTCCTGTTTTGTATGTATATGTGTATCTTGTGTAGGCATCGAATTGTGCCTTTTTGTAAGCCGCCCTGAGTCCCCTCCCCGGAGGTTGAGAAGGGCGGGGTAGAAGTAACTTAAATAAATAAACCACCACTTCACTGCTCTCATTGTATGACTAGCAAGATGCTCTATCCATGCCCAAAAGATCATTTTCTTCACAAACAGATGGAAACCAGAATGGGGCTGGACTGGATGGCCTTGTGGGGAGGGTCCCTTCAAACACTAAGGGGATTCTGGTGGGCTGAGAGGGCATACATATTTTAACAACAACAACAACAACAATAAATAGCCACACCAGCAGAGAGGCAGACAAGTGGAGATGACTCCAGAGAAGCCAAGAAGGAAAGCACAGTAATGGCTCTATTGGTGGGAGGTTACAGGAATTCTGATGGACTCAGTGGAAATATTATTATTATTATTAATAATAATAATAATAATAATAATAATAATAATAATAATAGATGAGAAGCAACTGGAAAATCTTACATGATACAAGGATTTAAAGATTGAACTGCAAAGACTCTGGCGCCAGCCAGTAAATGTGGTCTCAGTGGCGATCGGCACACTGGGTGCAGTGCCTAAAGATCTTGGCCTGCACTTAAAAACATCGGCGCTGACAAAATTACCACCTGTCAAAAAGGGAAGGAAGAGAAAGAGGAGAAGAGAAGGGAAGAGGAAAAGGAGAGAGAAGAGAAGAGGAGAGAAGGAGAAGAAAGAAGAGGAGGAAGGGAAGGGAAAAAGGAGGAAGGGGAGGGAGAGAGGAGAGGAAAGAAAGGAAAGAGGAGAAAGAAGGGAAGAAGAGGAGGAGAGAGAAAATGGGACATTTAAAAGAGATACATAAAGAACGAGGAGAAGGAGAAAGAAAAAGTAGGAGGAGGAAGAGGGGGAGAAGAAGAAGGGGAAGAAGAGGGAGAGGGAGGAGAAGGAGGAGGGGAAGAAGAGGAAGGAGGAGGACAGAGGGAAGGAAGAGAAAGAGGAGAAAGAAAAGACAAATGGGAAGGAAGAGAAGGAGAAGAAAAAGAAGGAGGAGGAGGAGAAGGGGAAGAAGAGGAAGGAAGAGGAAGAGAAGGAGGGGAAGAAGAGGAAGAAGGAAGGAGGGAAGGAAGAGAAAGAGGAGAATGATGAGAAGGAGGATAAGAAGGAGGAGAAATAGAAGATGAATGGGAAGGAGAAGGAGAAGAAAAGGAAGAGGAAGAGGAGGAGGGGAAAAGGGGGGAAGAAGAAGAAGAAGAAAGAGAAGAGAAGAAGAAGAAGAAGAAGAAAGTGGAAGAGGAGAAGAGGGAAGAAAGGAAGGAGAGGAGGAAGAGGAAAAAAGGAGAAAGAAGAAGGAGGAGGAAGGGAAAAAAGAGAGGAGGAGAGGAGGAGGAGGAGGAGAAGGGAAGAAGAGGAAGGAGGAGGAGGAGGAAGAAGAGGAGGAGGAGGAGAGGGAAGGAAGAAGAGGAGGAGGAGAGAGGAGAAAAAGGAGGAGGAGAGGAGAGAAGAGGAAGAAGAGGAGGAAGAGGAGGAGGAGGAGAGAAGGAGGGAGAGGAAGAAGAGAAAAGAAGGAGAGAAAAAGAAGAGGAAGAATGAGGAGGAGAAGAGGAACGATAAGAGGGAGGAGGAGAAGGGCAACTACTTCAGCACTCCGGGAAGGAGAGAAGCAAGCAAGGAAGGCGCAATGGAGAGGCTGCTCGACGGGTGCGCTCTCTCTGCTCTCACCTGGAAAAAAGCATCCAAAGGAGAAGGAAGAAATCTCTCCAGCTGAGTGCAACTGCTTCCTCGCCGTCCAGGCTTTTCCTTCCACGGCCCCAGAAGAGCAAAGCCAGCTCCCTCCGTGTATCGTTGGTTCCCTTTTGCGCTTCGCTCGCTCCGGAGCGCCTTATGTAGCTTTCGCCCAGGTCCGCCTCCGGCGCCTCCCACGCCAGGAAAGGACACCAGGGGGCCCCACGAAGGCTTCGGAAGGGCCCCCGGCTCCCTAGGCAAAGGGCCTGGGTACCTCGACTTGGAGAATACACTCAGGAAAGCCAGCCTGGCATCCAGAAAGAACTGTCGGGTCTCTCTTTCCTGACGAGGTTGGCTTCCCAGTGAGCTTGGGTGATCAGGAGAGAGAGAAAGGCCAGTATTGAGGTTGTCACCATTCTTTCAGACTGAGCATCCTTTATTTGGAAAGCCATAATGGAATGAGGGTTTCTTATCCACAGGTTCAACCATCCATGGTTCACAAGCCTCTTTGGGTCTCCGGAATGAAAGAACTGAATCGAATTGAATAACTTTATTAGAATCATAGAATCCTAGAGTTGGAAGAGACCTGGTGGCCATCCAGTCCAACCTCTTTCTGCTAAAATGCAGGAAAAATGTATTCAAAGCACTCCTGACAGATGGCCATCCAGCCTCTGTTTAAAAGCCTCCAAAGGAGGAGCCTCCACCACACTCCGGGGCAGAGAGTTCCACTGCTGAACAGCTCTCACAGTCAGGAAGTTCTTCCTAATGTTCAGGTGTAGTAGTTTGAAGACATTGTTCTGCATCGTAGTCGCAGCAGAAAACAAGCTTGCTCCCTCCTCCCTATGACTTCCCCTGACCTCTTGATCCATGGCCCTCATCATGTCTTTTCTCAACTTTCTTTTTTGCAGGCTAAACATGCACAGCTCTTTAAGCCGCTCCTCATAGGGCTTGTTCTGCAGACCCTTGGTCATTTTAGTCGCACTCCTCTGGATACATTCCAGTTTGTCAACATCTCCCTTCAATTGTGGTGCCCAGAATTGAACATAGTGTTCCAGGTGTGGTCCGACCAAGGCAGAATAGAGGGGTAGCATGACTTCTCTGGATCTATGGGTATGGGCCTTGGTCAGACCACACCTGGAATCACACTGTGTCCAATTCCGGGCCCCACAATTGAAGGGAGATGGGATGCGTCCAGAGAAGGGCAACTAAAGTGATCAAGGATCTGGAGAACAAGCCCTATGAGGAGCGGTTTGAAGAGCTAGGGACGTTTATCCTGCAAAAGAGAAGGTTGAGAGGAGAACTGATAGAAGAGACACATATAAATATGTGAGGTGAAGTCATAGGGAGGAGGGAGCAAGCTTGTTTCCTGCTGTCCTGGAGACTAGGATGCAGAACAATGGCTTCAGACTATAGGAAAGGAGATTCCACTTGAACATGAGGAAGAACTTCCTAACTGTGAGAGAAAGCTGTTCAGCAGTGGAACTCTCCGCCCCAGGATGTGGTGTAGGCTCCTTCTTTGGAAGCTAAAACTAGGCAGCTATCTCAGTAGCTAGTGCTGCATACCACAGAACTAAATCAAAAGCAACCACACCAACAATACACACGAATACACTAACATACACACAGACACATAGGCCTGTTTGATCAAGAAAAAATTTGTTTCTAAAATCGATTTGTAATTGGGGTGTTTTTTTGTTTCGATATTTAAAATAATTACAAAACTTTCCAAAAAAAAGTTTTGGTATTTAAGAAATTTTGTAAATATTAACGAATTTTTAGAATATTTTTTTATTTTTTAAGAATAATATTAAAATAATATTAAAAAAATATTTTAAATGGAAAATTAACCAAAAAATGGCCCAAATGTGGACCAAACACAGGCAGGAGACAGCAAATGAGAGAAAACACCAACAGAAGAGTCTTTTCTTTTTTTAGAATATTTTTTAAGAATAATATTAAAATAATATTAAAAAATATTTTAAAATGGAAAATTAACCAAAAAATGGCCCAAATGTGGACCAAACACAGGCAGGAGACAGCAAATGAGAGCACACACCAACAGAAGAGTCTTTTCTTTTTTAGAATATTTTTTAAGAATAATATTAAAATAATATTAAAAAATAATATTAAAATAATATTAAAAAATATTTTAAAATGGAAAATTAACCAAAAACTGGCCCAAATGTGGACCAAACACAGGCAGGATACAGCAAATGAGAGCACACACCAACAGAAGAGTCTTTTCTTTTTTAGAATATTTTTAAGAATAATATTAAAAATAATATTAAAAATAATATTAAAAATAATATTAAAAAATAATATTAAAAATAATATTAAAAATATTTTAAAATGGACAATTAACCAAAAAATGGCCCAAATGTGGACCAAACACAGGCAAGAGACAGCAAATGAAGCAAGCAGCACTCACAGCAGCAAGGAATGAATCCAATCCCAGTTGCTAGCAGCCAAGCCAACCCAATGCAAACTCCCTCGCCCTCTGCAGCAAGCTACGGGCCGCGCGGAGCCGCTTTGAAAGGGCTCGCCGGCCAATCAAAAACAAACAGCCACGGACCCATGGTGCACTGCTTGGGAGCGCCGGATTGGCTCCCAGGCACCAGCACTCCAGCAGCCTCCACCCCATTAACGAAACGAGCGGAGGCTCGTTAAATCTATGGGGGTTGCTGGTTCGATATTTAAAAACCCTTCCGGGTTTGGAAATATGTTTCAATATCGCTTCGGAAATGCCAAAAATAACGAATTAATAACGAATTAACGAATTAACGAACGAAACCGCACAGGCCTACAAACTATACTTGATCTTCTTAATATGTTATATTAAGAGTCACCATTTTACCATGTTGTTATGTCCAATCACACTGCAACATCCACGATGGTGATTTCCATGAAGGAGGAGGATGTCTTGGTTTGAATCCATCAGATACTAAGATCCAAATGTACAGGAATATTTTTTCCCATAGGTAGCTGAGACAGCAAAACCTTTCCTTTCTGATGGTTCAGTGTACAGAAACTTTATGTATTAAATTATTATTATTATTATTATTATTATTATTATTATTATTAATGTGTTGTCGAAGGCTTTCGTGGTCGGAATCACTGGGTTGCTGTGAGTTTTCCAGGCTGTATGGCCATGTTCCAGAAACATTATCTCCTGGCATTTCACCCACATCTATGGCAGGCATTCTCAGAGGTTGTGAAGTCTGTAGATGTGGGTGAAACGTCAGAAGAGAATGCTTCTGGAATATGGCCATACAGCCCAGAAAACTTATAGCACGCAAATAATAATAATAATACTCCACTTTTTCTCTCCACAAGAAGACTCAAAGTGGCTCAAAGTGTATATGAGGGTTGAATGAAAAGTAATGCCTCCACCTTCGTAACTCCTCAACAGATGGCAGTACTGGTATGCGGCAGGTACTGGCTTGTTCAGTAGACTCTCCTCTACAGTTCCATTTTGGTGGGAAGCCAGAGCATTGAACGGTTGTGTTGTTAAAGTGTGAAGTATGGAACCCTGTGCAGATGGTCAGTCAATGCGACTTAAGCAATGTGCAGTCATTGAATTTTTGACAGCTTAAGTTGCAGGAAACACAAAGCCTAAGTGATACAAGGAAGTGTGATATGAGGGTTGAATGAAAAGCAATGCCTCCACCTTCATAACTCCTCAACAGATGGCAGTACTGGTATGCAGCAGGTACTGGCCTGTTCAGTAGACTCTCCTCTACAGTTCCATTTTGGCAGGAAGCCTTAGCATTGAACGGTTGTGTTGTTAAAGTGCAAAGTATGGAACCCTGCACATGGTCAGTCAATGCGACTTAAGCAACGTGCAGTCATTGAATTCTTGACAGCAGAAAGTGTCACCTCAACATCTTTAAACTTACTCGCCCAACGACGCACAGTACTCACATCAACACAATCACCATAAACAGCTTGCATTCTCTGATGAATCTCCTTTGGGGTGACACCTTCTGCTGTCAAGAATTCAATGACTGCATGTTACTTAAGTCGCATTGACTGACCGTCTGCGTAGGCTTCCATACTTTGCACTTTAACAACACAACCGTCCAATGCTAAGGCGTCCCACCAAAATGGAACTGAAGAGTAGAGTCTACTGAACAAGCCAGTACCTGCCGCATACCAGTACTGCCAACTGTTGAGGATTTACAAAGGTGGAGGCATTACTTTTCATTCAACCCTCATAAAATTATCTCGAAGTTATGCATGTAAAGTGTCTATAAAACATCAATGAATTTTGTGTTTGAGCTGGGGTCCCATCTTCAAGAAATCTCATTAGGTGCATACACATATTCCAAAGTCTCTGGCTTTCATTGGATGGTGCCATGAAAGTGGCATTGATGTGCTACAGCTGACTAGTGTAGACAGACCTTTTTTGCCATCTTCTAATTCCCTTTCCCTCCTTGCCGTCTCCACAAGTTAAGGCAGAATCCAATTCCTCTGCAACTCAAAGACAGTAGCAACACACATGGAGTGCCACTCCACACCCATCCAGAGCCAAACCGCAGTGGCAAGTTGCCCATCAGTGCAGAATTGTGGCGGGTCAAATCAAAGGCCGCTGCATTTTGTTTTATGAGCCACAGCGATTGGGCACATCGCCCAATGTGACCTCAGGAAGCTGGAGTAAATCAAGATGGGAATTCAGGCAAGCCGCTTCCGTCTGTCTGTGGCTGGGAGAGGCGTAATTGTAGCCGCAATCCCATCTGGGCTCAGACACCTTAAGAAGGGAAAATCCCAACCTATAGCACACCTTGCTTCAACTTGCACCTGAGAGAGAGGTGTTTTTGGAAGTGATCACAAATGAAGAACCTTTTTCATAGGAGTCTGATTGTTATGCTTTTCTATAAGTCTATGAGCATGGCCTTCTTTTTGGTGGCCTTCATAGCACAGGAACTCATGCTGATGGACCATTTGAGGTCAGGTGCCATTTGTTTAAAGAGGACTTTCTGAAGTTCTCTTTTCCCCTCTTCTCCTTGAACTGTTTAAAGGTTACAGTCTATAGTAGGCATGGACAAACTTCTGTTAGGAATTGTGGGAATTGGAGCCTGAAACACCTGGAGGGTCAAAGTTTGACCAA